TATGCAATGCAATGCTATATAAGGTACCATGACTTTATACTGGTGGTGGTGCAGCGGCCGTGCGATGAGGGTACTTGCGCAATTGGGTGGGGCTGGAATGTTTAGAATCTGATGCTGGTGCAGCAGGGAGTCCTAAGTCCTTATGGGACCAAGGATAGCTGAGGGTCCTCACCTTAGATACCTTATTCAATTGGTGTCTACTCATTTGTAGAGGAATTTGTTGTGGCATTTCTGATTGTTCATCCTTAAGTAGCTCTATGGGTTGTGGGGGTGCTGGTACGATTGAAAGCTGGAGCTCAGTTTCTTGACATTCAGTTTTTGGCACAGAGTGGAATGGATCATGATCGACTAGTTCCTCATCATCAGTGGGCTGGTGAGCATCTTTGGATGCCTTTACATTTTCAGATGGTTGCAAGAGATTAGTAAGGAAGACTGGTATATCAAGATTAATGTTCAGGAGAATCTCCATGAAAGCATTTGCGACAAACTGATCTCCGCGCTTTACATAAGCAAAGAAGGTCATAATATTGCTGGTCAGTTGTTCTACATGCTCTTGGGTTTATTTAGTGACCTCCTCTGGGGCATCTAGTTTTGCCCTAGCATCTTGGGTTGCTTCAGCGCGGGAAATGTTCTCCTTTTTTTTCTTTTCCCTTGTTTTCCTTGAATCCAAGTAACATAGGAAGATTGGCTTTTGCAATACCAGCCAGCCTAGGCAACATCTCATCAAATTACTCCTCAGGCACATTCTTCTTATGACAAAGAGTCGTAATGAGGTTTACAAATACCAAGGCACTGTTAAGTCGCTTCAAACAAGTATGAACTTGTTCTAAAATTATGTTGCCTATGTCAATGAAATGCCCTACTAAAATAGAGTGCGACAGAAACATCCTATGTAGTGAAACTGTGGTGTTGTGGGTAGTAGAGAGATTTTTGTGCTTCATAAAATGATTCCATAACTTAGCCCTCGGTTGTAGCCTCTCGTAATCCACCGTTCGTCGGCTTACTTATTGGCCATTCCCCTGTGTGTTTGAAAAATAGAGGTCATCCAATATGCCATGGTAAGTCTCATTATCTGCCTCTTTTGTAAAAGTGGTGTGGTTATCAACAATATCCTGCAAGTTAAAATAATGATTAATAGCCGAAGAGATAAAGCGAATAGAAATACCATGAACCACCACGTCATGTTGATTTGGGTCGGTTAAGTTGGTGTAAAACTCCTTCACCAAAGAGGCATTCACATTCTCCATATGCTCGGCAAATTTCTGCCACTGGTGCTGGTGAACCCAACGATGTCTATGATTTCACTACCGAGGTTAGCATCTTCATCGTCAGAGAAAATAAAGCCTAACTCCAAGAAAACCTGGCGGTTTTTGAGGTTTTGAAACCTTTATTGTACCGCTTCATCAACGAAACACAATGGAGTTGATGAAGCCATGCTTGAGGGACGTGAGCGAACCATGGTATAGTTGACAAAACAAAGAAAAGATGAAAAAGTTTGAAGCTTTTTGGCTATGGCGTTCGGTGCTAAAGAGGGAAGAAGAAGAAAAGTTGAAGGCTGAGTGAGAGAGTAAAAAGATGAAAACAAGATGAAAAGGTAAAATGGGATGGTTATTTAACGTGTGGATGAGGTGTTAGTTGAGGGAAAAAGACAAAAATAAATAAAACAAACCCTAAAGAAAAACAAAAAATTTCAAAAAGTAAAAAGGTGAAAACGTTTCCCTCATGTTTTGTCTTGTTGTCGCCTATTTCCTTTTCTTTAACTGTACATTAATCACGTGACTGTTACGTGGACCCTAAAAATGCAAAACAAAATAAAATAATTAACAAAAAAGAAACTGAATAAAATAGTAACAAAATAAACATGTATTTATGTACAAGAGTAAATCCAAAATGTAATGACATCTTCAAGATGGTTAGTATATTTCGGCATCATTCAAGAAGAGTGTTGATTTGTCACGCAAGGGCGGAGCTCCTTGACAAGCCTTCATACACTGGCCATTAACTTTGAAAATGGAGGCATCATCCATATTCTTGATATAAATAGCACCATGAGGGTATACACGGTGTACTTCAAATGGTTCAGACCATCGTGACATCAGTTTTTCAAGGAAGAGCTTCAGCCTTGAGTTAAACAATAGCACCTGCTGGCTAATATGGAAATGCCGTAACAAAAACATTCGATCATGCCACTTCTTGGTTTTTTCCTTGTAAAGCTTGGAATTTTCATATGTTTATGCTCAAAACTCTTCTATTTCATTCAGATCAAATAATCTTTACTCCCCAGCTAGTTGTGCATCGAAGTTCAACTTCTTGATAGTCCAAAAGGCCTTATGCTCTAAATCCATAGGTAGGTGACATGCTTTCCCATATACCATCTTGAAAGGTGACATTCCCAAAGGTGATTTGAATGCTGTCCGTCAAGCCCAGAGTGCTTCGTCCAGCTTCAGAGACCAGTTCTTCCTTCTAGGATTTACCACATTCTCTAAGATTTACTTGATCTCTCGTTGGACACTTCAGCATGCCCATTGGTTTGTGGGTGATATGTCGTAGCAATTTTATGTCGTACTTCATATTTTTGTAATGCCTTGGCAATTAGCTTGTTATCAAAATGAGTGCCCTCGTCACTAATGATGGCTCTTGGTGCTCCAAATCGGGTAAAGATGTTCTTGCAAGGAACTTGAGCACTATTTTTGAGTTATTCCTCAGTGTGCCAATTGCTTCAACCCACTTAAATACGTAGTCCACAACAAGCAAATTATACAAGTCTCCAAAAAAAGATGAGAACGGTCCCATGAAGTCAATGCCCCACACGTCAAAGAGCTCAACCTCCAGAATGTTTTGCAATGACATTTTGTGTCGTCTAGAAATGTTCCCAGTGTGCTGGCATCTGTCACACGTTTTTCAAAATTCGTGAGCATCCTCAAACAGTGATGGCCAGTAAAATCTTGATTGGAGGACCTTAGCAGCAATCTTCGCACATCCGAAATGTCCTCTATAGGAGGCTGTGTGGAAATGGTTAGAATGTCTCTTTGCTCCTCCTTAGCGACACAATGCCTAATTATTTGATCTGCATATTGTTTGAATAAGTATGGATCGTCCCAGAAGTAGAACTTGGCATTATGCTTGAACTTCTTCCTACCCTGGTTGTTCAATTCATAAGGAAAAATACCACTAACAAGAAAATTGACGATGTCAGCGAACCACAGAAATGTCATTGCATATAAAATTTTCTCATCAGGGAATTCTTCTTGAATATCTAAAATATCAAGGCATTCAGAATTGTTCTCTAGTCTAGATAAATGATCTGCAACCTAGTTTTCAATACCTTTCTTATCTATTACCTCTAAGTCAAATTCTTCCAGTAATAATATCCACCTAATGAGTTTAGGCTTGGCATCTTTCTTGTTCACTAAGTATTTTATAGATGAGTGATCAGTGTGAACAATGACTTTGGTGCCTGTCAAGTTATGCCTAAACTTTTCAAATGTAAATACCACGGCAAATAATTCTTTCTCAGTTGTAGTATAGTTCAATTGTGCCTTATTCAAGGTATGACTAGCATATTATATAACATGGAAAATTTTACCTCTACGTTCCCCAAGCACAGCTCCCACGGCAAAATTGCTTGCATCACACATCAGCTCGAACGGTGACGTCCAATCAGGGGGAACCATAATAGATACAAAGATAAGTTTTTGTTTCAGCTTGATGAATGCGCCATGACAATTTTTATTGAACACAAAGGGTTGATTTTATTAGAGCAGGGTGTATAAGGGATTGGATATAGTGGAAAAGTCCTTTATGAATCTTCTATAAAACCTAGCATATCCAAGGAAACTCCTAATACCCTTGACAAAAGTTGGTGGGGTAGCTTCTCGATCACCTCAATTTTGGCTTTGTCCACTTCAATGCCCTTTTAAGAGATCTTATGGCCTAGAATAATGCCTTCGGTCAGCATAAAGTGAAACTTTTCCCAATTATGTACGAGATCAGCATTTCTCAAAGTCATCTCCAGAAATAGAGAAGTCAACCATAAAGATTTCTAGAAAATCCTCAACCATGTTAGAAAATATGGCTTACATGCAGCGCTGAAAGGTTATCAGGGCATTACAGAGTCCAAAACGCATCCTCTGGAAAGCATAAGTGCCATAGGGACACGTGAACGTAGTCTTATCTTGGTCCTCTAGTGCGATGAAAATTTGATTATATCCCTAGTATCCATCCAAGAAATAATAATATGCCTTGCCAACCAGTCGATCCAGTATTTGATCGATGAAAGGGAAAGAGAAGTGGTCTTTCTTGGTGACCTTTTTGAGTTTGCGATAGTCCATGCATATCCGCCACCTGGTGACAGTGTGTGTTGGTGACAACTCATTGTCTTCACTTGTCACCACGATCGTGCCTCCATTCTTTGGCACACATTGGATGAGACTCGCCCAAGAACTATTAGAGATGGGGTAAATCACTCCAGCATCAAGCCATTTGAGAATTTCTTTCATCATAACTTGCTTTATGATTGAGTTTAATATTCTTTGTGGTTCTATGAATTTGCCATGGCATTCTTCCAGCAAGATTTTATGTATGCAAATGGTGGGACTTATTCCCTTCAGATCCGCCATAGTCCATCCTAACGCTCTCTTGTGCTGTGACAAAACACTTAACAAACTACATTCTTGGTTAGGAGTAAGGGCAAAGGAAATAATAATAGGTAAAGTTTCATTACTACCCAGATAAACATATTTAAGATTATGTGGCAAATTCTTTAACTCTAGGGTAGGTGCACGTTGTAATGAGGGCTTAGGAGGAATAAACTCATTGAAATCAAGAGGTTCAAAACATGTACATGGGCTAGCTATGAGGAAGCTAGCCTGCTGCTCCTCAAAAGAAAAGTCATTGGGCTCTTCAACACTTTCTTCTTTAATAAGCCTCTCATAATTTTCTAGCTGAATGAAACTGTCATGGTAAAATTTATCAGCTTCTCTTGTTATAAATGAATCCGCTTAAAAAATGCTCTGGTATTCTTCAGAATCATCCATATACTTGAGAGTACGGAAGACATTAACTGTGACACATTGGTCGGCCACTCTCATGTTAAGCTCACCCTTCTCGCAGTCGATAAGAATATGTTTTGTAGTTAGGAATGGTCTCCCCAAGATTATGGGTGATGTGGCATCAACCTCGCAATCTAGAATAAGAAAGTCTACTAGAAACATGAATTTTTCCACCTTTACAATGACATTCTCGACTCGTACCTCAGGACAAACATGGGAACGATCGGCTAATTGCAAGATAACAGAGGCGGGTCTCGAATTTCCTATTCCAAGCTTCACGTAGATTGACTTAGGCATTGAGTTCACGCTTGAGCCAAGGTCACATAATGCCTTCCTAACATAACTTTCTCCTATCGAACATGGAATAATAAAACTGTCTGGATCTTGTCTTTTTGGTGGCAGCTTGCTTAAGGCATAACAATATGCCTTTGTCATGGCAACTGTCTCGTACTTCTTAGCTTTTCTTTTCTTGGTAACAATCTCCTTGAGGAACTTAGTATATTTTTGCATTTGCTCTATAACTTTAAGAAAAGAACACTAATGTGAAGTTGGTTCAGAATGTTGACAAACTTCTTGAATTGAATGTCAATATTATGGTTATTCAGTCTTTGAGGGAAAGAAGGTGGGGGTCTGACTTCTTTAAATGAAGGGACGGGAACAACGTTTGCCTTGGAATTTTTGTTTGCCCCCTCAGTTGCTTTACTCGATGAACCCTCATCCTTATCCTCTTCCACTTCCACTTGTGTTTCTTCTGGCAATTAATGCTCAATCTGCGCGATTACAGGGGTAAATCAGTCTTCGGTCTCCCCCCAAACTTGTCTTGTACATTGATTTGGGTGCTACTCCGTAGAGTAAGTACACTGTATTGCTCATTGCCATGATGTTTTGTGACTTTAGTGTCACTCGACAGATGATTTGGTTGACGTTCTTGTAATGCCGTGACAATTTGACCAACCTGACCCTCCAACACCCTCAGAGATGAATTGCGGCTTTGAAACAAAGCTCCTTGGTTTCTTATAGAGGTACATGGTCTTCGTGGTTGCTATAAACTCTTGCATTATGACCTCCAAAGAACTTGTGTTAGAAGAAGATAGCCCTCTCTTGTTAGAATTATGCCATGGCGTATTCGTTTGAAAACCTTGGGAGTCATTGAAATTCTGCTTCCGAACGGGTTGATTAGCATTATTGGTTCCTTGATTTCCCCACGAGAAGTTTGGATGTTGGTGCCATCTAAGACTATATGTGTTAGAATAGGGGTTGTTGTTCCCTCGATTGTAGTTTCCTACATAGTTGATGGATTCCTGATTGGTTAGGAACTCGCTCTCATGGTGATTGCCATGGCATAATAAACATACCGAATTGGCTACCTTCACTTCTTTCACCTCACTTGGTCTTTGCAAATTCTTTAATATATTGGTGATAATAGTAAGTTGGGTGGACACAAAATCCTCAGTGTCTAACTTGACTACTCCATGTTATTTTCGCCCAATACCAAGCCTTGTAAATGTAAATTGACAATCGTTGTTGGCAATCCTGTTCAGAATGTTGAATGCCTCTGCATGTGATTTATCGAGTAATGTCCCATTTGCCGAGGCATCTAGAATCATCCTTATGGACGCATTAACTTTGTTATAGAACATTACCACTTGAGTCTAATCTTGAAAACAATGATTTGAACATTTTCAAAGAAATCTTTTATACTGATCCTAGCATTCATACATTGATTTGTTATCAGCTTGAAGAAAAGAAGCGATGTCGTTCCTTAGTTGGGTGTTCATGTTCAGAGGATTATACCGTAGCAAAAAACTTTTGCACATATCAGTCCAAGACTCCATCGAACCCGTTAGAATGCTACTCAACCAATCCCTTACTCAGTCACGCAGAGAATATGGAAATAACTTTAACTTTAATACATCTTCGTGCACTCCTTGTTAATGGAAAGAATCGTACACCTCCAAGAAGTTACGAATATATCGTCTGGTAACTTCATTTGGCATGCCCCCAAATTACACTATGGAATTTAGCATATTGAACATGAGAGGTTTGAGCTCGAAATGGGCTGCCTGAATCTCGGGTGCCATAATTCCTGGATTTAAGTCGTCCAAAATAGGATTTAAGTGATCACGAATGGTACAAGGTTTTGCTGGATTCCTAGCATTTTGAATTGCCTCAGCATTCTGATATTCCTCATGACCAATACCTTGATTTCCAATTTCATACATATTTGCAAGTTGAACACGTCTTCTTTGCCTAAAAGCCTCTCAATCTCAGGTTCAATTTGTTCTAATGGCTATTAAGAGTGTCTTCTGGACATACACCAAGAAAAACCTGAAAAATATAAGGAACATAACAAGTAAAACTATATATAAAAAAATAAACAAGCAAAATAAAAATGTTATGCCAAAACTAATTAACTTCCAGTTTCCAATCCGCGGCAACGGCGACAAAAACTTGTCCGTGAATTGTGACTACTAAATTTGTTCGTGAAAATATGTGCAAGTACACACAATCGAACAAGCAATACAGTGATAATTGAGTATTGTATACTCAGGGATTGGAGGAAATTTACAAGTTCAGTCAAAGCAATTAACTACTTTACCTAAGTATAGTTGGTGATGGTATGTACAAATGAGAATGTTGTGGTAAGATGAAATGGATGTTGTGGAAATGGAATGATGGTAAAATGGTAGCATATAGAGATGCATTGGCCAAGTGGATGGAAATGTCGTGGCAAATTAAATTGTGTTTAGTGCAATCGAATGAGAATGTAAAGACCAAACAAAATGTAAATATTGGATTTGTTTATAAGGACTTTAGACTCATCTCACAACAAGCTACTATGGGAATGAATGATAAGAGTTACTTCGGAAACTTAAATCTACTTCTCATGATGGTCTTACTTTTATGCCTTATCTGCCTGAAAGAGTTTACTAAGGGTTCCCTATGCTATCTTTAATTAAGGGACTCGAAAGGTTCAAGATGACATGGTAAACCTATTGGCATTAGCAAGTGCAGGGATCCTATTTGTCCAGATAACAGGATATGTCACGACAATACCTTTTAGCGACATCACTAACATCTAACCTCTCGATCAAACACTACTCCTTTTAGTCGATTAAAATCCTAGCCTTATGTATAAGGTTGGATTAGGCCTAGTTACTACCTAGAACCCCGTTGCTTATGTGGATACTCCCTAGTTTCTCTCGAACACTAAGGACATGTTACTTAGTCATTCTCTCGAACACTAAGAAATCTCCTAAGGAATAGCTACTCTCATAGCTCTTACAACCTTAAGGCATTAAACATCATAAACAAAACAAACAACATCATACAAAAATAACCATCCATTAAAGTAAAACTTAAATATCCATAAGGAACTCCCACCAAATAAGACTAGTTCATGGTGGGGTTTGAATGTTCCAAGCAACAAAGCAAGAAATTAATTCATTTCATACAACCCAAATAACATAAAAGAGAGCAAACAACAAAGAGAAGGAGGAAACACCTTCGACGTATACTATCGTAGCTCCCCTCAACGACCATGAACTGCCTCAGCTCGCTAGCTCCTCTCGGACGCCTAGCTCGCCACTCCCTCTAGCTTGTTAATAGAGGAATGCAATGGCAAAGACGATGGATAGAAAAATGAGAGACATTTTTCTATGTGCAAATAAACTTAAGACGGCGTGTGTAAAGTCTCTTTTTCATGGTGGCTTCATCTCCTATTTATATGGAGAGAATAAACCTAGGAATTTGTGTTAAAATTCCTAGGATAACCCGAACAGGCTTCCTTCACGTGAGGGGGTGAGCAGCTGTGGTAGTGGCCCCCTCCAGGGCAGCTGGGCGAGTACCAGACAGGATCAACTTGCAGCTGGGCGTGGTCCCGACATAATCAGACGACCCAAGCGGCATATGTCTCCTCTCGGGTGACTGGTGGTAGAGGGAACGTGAAGACAATGACATCTTGCTCTTAAAAATATCTTTTTTCATCTTGTTCACTTCCAAAATGTTGTTTGGTTTGGCATTTGCATTCTGCTTAGCCGTTTTTCTTATCCTTGCTCCCAAATTCTGCACATCATGAAACAAAATGCCTTCCCTATAATGCATCACCATTTACGAAATAAAATGCCGCGACAAAATATATTTCCACCACATGTAAATATATGCTCCTTAATGCATCTATATGATCCTATATGAGCTCTTAGACAGTCAATAACTTAAGTAAAAAGGCCCTAAATATGGACTTTTTACGGAGTTATCACTTTACTATTGAATACATAAAACTACAAGTATTCCCATACTTTCATCCTATAAATTGTTATAAGTTTATTTCGCGATAAAAGATTTTACAATTGGGAAGGTCTTGACTTTCGAACAAGAAGAATAAAAGAGACGAGACAGTATAACTGCCAGCCCTAAGATGGTGACAAAGCAGACTAGCTTTTCCCTGTAATCCATGTACTCCATGCATGGGCACTCTCTATTATCATTCGTATTTTCACCAAATCACAAACCAAGCGACTCCAATGGTAAATGAAGACTTGTTATTCCTTGAGGTCACATGTTCGAGCATTATGAATGTCAAGAGTGTGAATATTCAATGTCAAATGGTTGAGAGTATTTATTGAACATATATTGCTTGTATTTATCCTAGATTAGTAAAAAAATTGTTACAAAAATACCAAAAAAAATGATAAATTTAGTATATTACGGGGCAAAAGTCATTCTCACCCCTTATTTCCTCTTATTCCCACACAAACCACTAATTCTCGCCTCTTTTTAATTGCTAGCAGTAAAAGGTTACAGTATTTTCTTTAGTCCAAGTCTTTCCATACTCTTTCTTCCCTCACCCTAAAATCTAAAGTAAAAGTTGTTTGCAAAAGGATGTAAAAGAATTCGGTCTAATGACACAAACTCCAAGTTGAATAAGTCAGTCATTTTTATCCCTCATTTGGAACCGGTCATGTTTTCTAATATTTCCATAGGAACAGAAAGCATGGCTCATGCATGCATGCAAACCAATTCTATGCCTTTGCTTAATCAATGTCTTCTAATCCTACTTGTAAGCTCATTAATTATTTTTGAAATGTATCGTAAAATGCTTTTGAAAAGTGTGTCAACGATCGTGCTTACTGTTTGAGTCTTCCTTTGCACATACCCACGCTGCTTCTAGGGAAGCCAGAAAATGACCTATTTTCACATTTTACACCTCCTTTTCCTCATCGTTGAATTCTCAATTTCCCTACTCATTTCGTGTCCGAAGGATTCACAGATAATCTAAAGACCAGAGTTTGGGAATGTTAAAATCTTCAAGCAAAAAAAAAATCAAAGCCGAGGAAGGAAACCCCAAAGTCCAAATTCAAACCCACATGTCATTTAACACCAATGTTTGATTCGACAAACAGCTTAATTAAACAAGATTTAGTTGATTTTGTAGTTACGTGACGACGCTGCCTACTTGAAAAACTGCGGTCAACTTAGATCCATGGCGTTTCTGGTCCTTCAAGTTGTCA